GTGGATGTGCTGTGTGGCTGTTGGTTGTGGCATTGTTCTGTGTTTTGTGTTAAATGTGTGAAACTCAATAAAGAGTATTTATACCAACAAAAAAAAACACACAACGGGAATAAATCCAGAGCATGACATGTGAGGTGCATTTGGGAAAAAGGCCTAATTGGACAGTTTAGACAAATGAGATATTTTTATAACAAATTATTCTGTATGCTATTTTTGTATTCACAGTTTAGAGCAGGGTTGTTTTGGTCTGGCACTAACTAAGCCACCTCACCTTGAAGTTTGAAAACATATAGTAGACGTATTACTGCATTACTTGGATTGTGAAAAAGCTGCCACCTTGTACACATCACAAACACATTAAAATGCTCACCATATTTCCCTGATACTTTGGATGAGGCTTTACTTTGATCAGCCTCTTCTTGAGAATCAGAGAAGGAGATGGCCTTTCTGTCCGAGGCAGACATCCACCCGTAGAAGCCGGGCATCAGAAAAGTGACACTCTGTGGATGACAAATCAACAGAGACAGAAGTGAGATTTGTCCCGGTCGTCAATCCAAACAGCCTCGTTCAGACGGCCGTGTTGGCTGACCTTTCCCATCAGCTCGTCCTTGTCGTATCCGAACAGTCTGAGGGCGAGGTGGTTGTTGATGCTGTAGATGGAGCCGTCAGGGCAGAGCAGGAGGAGACCGCTGAGAGGAGCGAACGCCCAAACTGTTCCAGAGTACTCCAGCGCAGGGCCTTCTGGAAGAGTGGAGACGAGTGGAAATAGCACAAAATGTTACTAGCAGTTATTAGAAAGTGTATTAGTTAGCATATTGGAATGGTTAAAAATGCAAATACCTATTCATAATTGGTATGAGGATGCTATTCAACTAACACACACTACAGAGGGTGGACATGTAGAACATTAACTCTAAAAGTTGCTCAACTTTTATTTGTAGTATTAGTATTATTCTGCGTGATAGTGTATGAGCAGTCTTTTGCTCGTTCTCCTGTGAATAAGTGGGCTAACACGATTTACATGATTTTAAAAGTGTTATAATGTTTTAAATGCCATTGAAGAAGTACACACATTTTCTAAACTTCATAAAAAGGAACATTTAATTTTTATCTGATAAAATGTCAAATCACTAAATTTGGAGATGCATGGTTTTCATGATACTTGTCTTTTATTTTCATCTCGTATCGTACTAGTTTGTTAATGCATATGTATGTTTGGCATGATGAGGGGCCATTTCTCTTGACACAAAACAAATATTTTAATGTTGATAACTGGCATTTCAATAAAAACCCAGCTTTCTTGCAGTGCTTGACAGCTTCTTAAAATGGCCTTTACTTTGCAATAAAGGTTTTACATTATTGCTATTATTATTATTATTATTATTATCATTGTAGAAAAGGGTTTCCTGCAGGATGTTTAGTGCTTAAGAAGTATAACTAAGACAGTAGATAATGCATCCGTCTCTCCGGAAAATATATTGAGTTTTTTTTTAATTCCTCTTTGATCTAGCATTGTTTCTTTCAAACTGAACACCTTACCAGAGGATGGCTCTTCTGGATTTGAGCCTTCTGACTTGCACACAGATGAGTTGAGAGAAGAGAGCGGCTGATTGTCCGGTGTATGTGATCTTTTCAGACTCTCTGTTGGGCAGGTGAAACCAGTCCCATTGTTTTTGGGTCTCCCACATGCCACTGCACCCTGAAGTTTGACACACAGTGGGACTGATGCCCCCCCTCTGCTTTTCCCACAAACTTTCTGAACCCTCAGCATCTGAAAAAAAAAAAAATGAAGTTTAAAGATGACAGGCTTACAGAAATACCTGAGCTTAAAACGTTGAGGGATATCATGTTTTTTTTGCTCCTGAAAGGTCTGAGAAGCACACCGGTAAACAGAAACTTGAAAGCAAAGATTAAAAAAGGAGCTTCCCTTAGCTGAATGAGACTTACTTTTGGCAACGCATTACCGTGCAGAGGGATTTGTAAAGAGGGGATTAGCTCCTTCACAGACACCCCTTTTAACTCGTCTGGATGGTGGTATCCATGGAGATGGGCAAACGCCAAGTCACAGGTTAGGATGCTGCCCTAGAAATGACATTAAAAGTGAAGCAAAGCATGAGTTAGAGATGGTTATATATATTGCCAAGGAGCATTCAGTTGAAGAAAGCAGGAATTATTGTGAAAATGTCCTTACATCTTGTGAAAAGGACAGAACAGCTGACACCCTTTCCACACTCTCCATCATTACTAGCCACGGCTCCTGATCTTCTGACCATCTGTGGGAACACACTGACACCGGCACCTCTCCAGATGATGTCACAACATCCACCTACAGGATAGGTAGCATGTTATACCTTCAAACCACACACACTTAAGGGTTTCTTTTTTAGCATATTACTTACCACTTTTCCAGACACAGCGGCAACAGTTCCATCCACAAGCACAAAATCTTCTTCCAGCGCTTCTTCCAAGACCTGACTTGTTTTCTTCAAGATACAGGAAAGCTTTTTTCCAATCACTTCATTGGTGAGGCACTCAAACATTTTGCAGGCCTGTTCATTTGCTGACAATATCTGAAAAAGAAAGATAGACAAATGTACAGTGCATGCTTTAGTTGGAGTACTGACTAATTCTTCTTATCCCCCAATCGACACATTAAGAGCACGAACAGTACCTTTCTGGTTTTATGGTCAACCGTAAAAATGACTTTATGAGGGTTGATTGCAGATGGAGATTCAGACAGGCCAAAATCTTCAGAGATAAGCTGACTGAACAGGTTTTCCTCTGTCTCTGACACAGTGGCCGGGTGTGGCAGGGAAACAGCAGAAACTTGGGATCTAGGATGTAAACTAGAGATTTGGAGGTTTCTTGTTGCAACGGACGTGCAAACATCCACATTTTCACCTGCAAGGAAAACAAATATTTTTAATAAACACGCATTTTCTCTCATCTCACAAATAGGGTGGTTCAAATAGCTTGAAGGACCTCAAAAAAACAAACATGTTCAACTTACTTTAATCAAAACTGCAAATATACTGCTTGGTCACATTTGGTTGAGAATTGTTTTAAGGACAACCAATTGTTATGGCTGAATGTGTGTTGATTGATTGATCCTGTTACATCGTAAGTTACACTCACCTATCAAAGAACCACGATCATTCCGACGGTGCAAGGCCCAAAGGTTCTTCTTGTACATCGGTCTCTGAGAACATGGGTAGGACTTATTGAGGTCGAAGTCATCCTCCAGTAGAGCAGAGTAGAGGGCGGGCACCACACAGATAGTTTCTCCTTTAGCCCTGCTGCTGTGGCTGACCCCAAAACGAGCCTCAGATGACCAAGGCATTGCTCTTAGTTATCCAGCTGGGATTCACAAGGATTGACCCATAAAGAGAGAATTTAGGGATGGCAGCATTGTAAATGTGTGCTATTACAGGCTAGCAGAGGTGGGAGAAGTACTCAGAGATTGTACCTAAGTAAAAGTAAAAGTACCAGAGTGTATGAATACTCTGCTACACGTAAATGTCCTGCATTCAAAATGTTACTCAAGTAAAAGTACAGGGTATTATCACCAAAATATACTTATAGTACCAAAAGCAAAAGTACTCATTATGCAGATTGTTTCCATTTCAGAATAATATATATATTATATGTTTTGATTATAATCATTTACGCATTAATGTGTTGGGTTAAAGTGCAGCTAGTTCTAATGACTTTGTATGCTGCAGGGTAGATTGTGAATTTAGTTTACTCCAAGTGTAACTAAAGTCTGATTTAAGTGTTGATTGTATTCACATCATTAATCCAAATCTGTAAAGTAACTAATCAATCAATCAATGTTTATTTATAAAGCCCAATATCACAAATGTTACATTTGTCTCAGTGGACTTCACAGTTTGCACAGAATATCAGTATGACAATACGACACCCTCTGTCCTTAGACCCTCACATCGTACAAGGAAAAACTTCCGGAGAAAACCCACAGTTTAAAGGGAAAAATGGGAGAAACCTCAGGGAGAGCAACAGAGGAGGGATCCCTCTCCCAGGACGGACAGACGTGCAATAGATGCCGTGTGTAAATTGAAAAGATAATACATTTGCAACATGTACAATTTGCAACTAAAAGGTATTACATTAATTTAGTGGATTAAAAGTACACTATTTACCTTGCAATATTAGTGGAGTAGAAGTACCAAGTAGCAAAACATTAAAATACTCATGTAGAGTATCTCAACATTGTACATAGGTACAGCACTTGAGTAAATCTACGTAGTTACTTCACAGTTCACACCACTGCAGATTAGCTAATTACCACAGGTAGCCAACAGAGAAAATGTTCCAAGTTGATAACATTAGATTTGCTTGGTGTTGGCGTCTGATTTGTAAGAGTAAGTCCGAAACACTCACCTCAACACGTAAGAATAAACTCAGCAGCTTGTGTTTTCTGCCAGGCCACAGCAGCTTCAGTTGACGGTTGTTGACAAGGTAACGTTACCTCCCCTGAGCTTCCGGGCTAACTAGCCATCTGCTAACGTGAAACCAACAAAACGATGATGCCGTGCGGTGTTTGGATCGGAAATTACAGCGTCTATGCTGCAATTTTAACCACTGTATTCCAAATTGACGTTACCGTGGCGTGAGCACAACTTTGACACCATTCCAGCAGGTTAGTTGAGGTAGAAATAATGATATTTTTACTAATTCACGTAACGTTACTCGAGCAGTAGTTTTTGTAAACCGCGGGCTTCAAGCGGTAGCCGAGTAGATTCAAGGAAGTGCCTCGAAGCCAATCAAATGTCTCAACTCTGAACAAGGACACCTCATTGGATGATTTGCTAGAAACGCCCACCTTTGTATCCATAGAAACCGTGTAACAAAAACAATTTGATCTCGAACTTAATTTTGATTATGTATCTGCAGTATGAAAAGAGCTTTGCTCTCTTGCAGGTTTCCCTTGATCAAATAGCGGCTAATAATTAAAAAGAAGAAAATGTATAACATCAAAACATATTTTACACATTATTTTATTATAAAACAGGAAGACACAGACGAACCCCAACGCCAAACAGCAGTAACTACGGTAGAGTTGTTCAAGTTTATTTTTATTTTCTTTTTTACTGCGGTTTACAATGTAACTCAGCAAACAAGAAGTCTACGACTAGCTTTGTTATTTAAATGTGTTAGGGGCGAAAGTTAGAAGGCATCCATAACATTAATAGAAAATTACTATATCTTCTAAAACCTATTACATGAGAATTATACGCTCTTGATATGTATGTACAAATCTTATGAAGGACACCAAAATACACGTTTGACATAACAAAGAACAATTCATTATGTAAAACTGGCATCTAGAAATTGGGTAAGAGATCCAGGTGCAATGACTCCAGGGGTCCATATGTTTTTGAGTCTCTTCATCAGCTCCATGGCTTTGTTTGCTAAATTCACCATCTGCCCCTCAGGAAGATCATCTCTACCCAACTTCCCCTTGGCAAAAGTTGTATCCACAACAAACACTGACATTAAATGAATCCGACAATATCCTCACTTACAGAAAGTCCGGCATAGTTCAAATTAAAATGAGTTGGAGTACACTTTGCTGTACTTTTGCATCACTGAAAACAAAAACAAAATACATCGCAAGGAGATGAAAAGGTTATTCTGACACAGCTGCTGAGTTAGGAAAATATATTTAACAGTCAGTACAGATGTTTAAGAGTCAGTACAGATGTTTAAGAGTCAGTACAGATGTTTTGATACATATTTTAGTTAAATTTAGCTCTCTTTGTATCAGCAACAACATTGTGAGCAGAACTTTAGTTAATCCAGTAGCCTACTCTCATAATTCAAAATGCTATAAGAACAGCTCAAACTGCGTTTGAAGTGTATGCATATCATCCAGTTGCCCGATAACAGGCCCAATTACACTTCATTATTGATTTTTTTCGTTACATCACAAACATCTAGTAAGGTAGATTTGGGTACATTTCGAAACACCTTATCCTTTTTATGATACTGCACCGCCATGAGCTTATGTGTTTTGTGTACAATAGGTACCTATAAGTCTTCTTTTCTAAATGCAATGGCACCCTTTATTCAGAAAATTATGATTGCTGGTAACTGGCACATGCTTGTTGCAGTCATCTATTTTCCATAATCTAGTTTTATGCTATTTTAAATGTGGTTCTAGCAGCTTGTTAGAGCGGATGTGGCATTCGCTTCAGAAATCATGTTGCAGGATTTTGTAAATGTTGTCTAGTCCAGGGGCCAACTGCTATAGATGTAGCATGCATGTTATGTCAGGTAGCTCACTTTACAATAATGATACTGGCTGATCTTCTTAGAGACAGGGAGCCAAGCAGAACACTTTACACATTCAAACGCGCACACAAGCAAAGTCGGGCACGCACTTAGTGCCATGGCTGATAGCTTTGATACGTTTTTAGGAGCATAGTTCACTGAAACAGGGTCCATTTTAATGGTGGTAGTCCTTTTTACTGTGAGGGCGATTTCCCAGTATATGATCAACTTCTGTGGCAATGCCTGGTGTCATCTTTGGAATGACCTGTGATGCACAAAACAAAGAAAGAGCACAAGATCAATGCTGACCAGTAAAGATAATGACATAGTTATTCAGTATTATTCAGAATAAGGAAATGTTCTTTATACCAGAATGGCTCCCAGGTTCTCTGTTAGCTGGGTTGGATTGGAGGATCCCAGCAGCACTGAGCTCACTCCCTCGTTCCTCAGGCACCAGGCTAAAGATCAGGGATAGCAGGAGTTATTAAAGTGATTAAGTGGTTTCAAAGTTTTAAGACCGTTTGAAGAAAACATGAAATTTAGCAACATCTTTAATTGCTTAATTGCAAGTAGGGTCTTAGGATTTTCATGTTGTCCCTTACCTATGGCAAGCTGTGGCAAAGTACAGCTGAGCTTCTCCGCGATAGGAGTCAGTTCCTTTAGCTTGGCTTGTTGTTTTCTCCCGTCCTCACTCGTTACTTTCTCCTTCAACCACTGATATGGCTAGAGGAGCAGTGAAATAAGAAGTATTAGAATTATAACCCAAAATAAGGCAAAAATAACGTTTAATATATTACGTTTCTTGTTTGTATTGTTTTTATTGGATAAGAGTGAAGAAATTGGAACATAGACTAGCAGGTTGGAAAAGATTAGCTTTTAGCTGTATACCTTCATTGAGGCCCTGGAGGTTTCCGGGACACCATTCTCGTACTTCCCAGTGATGATACCACAGGCCAAAGGTGACCAGGACACTACACCCACACCTGAGAGAGGTCAAAAGTCACTAAGCAACAGCCCAAAAATCTATCGCCGCCCTAAATATATCCACAGGAACTAACTTTAGACTTACCTATCTTATGGTAGAGCTCTGGCAACTGAGTTTCCACCTTGTCCCTCTGGAAGAAGTGATACTCTGCCTGCTCACACACTGGTGGAATTAGATTGAACTGCCTAGCCACAGAGTATGCTTCCTAATTGAATGTAAAAAGGGTAGAAGTGTTAATAGGATGAGGAATGATGTGCAGCGCTGACCTTTATGTTAACAGATTTCATTTGTTTCTCCCCTGCTCTATGTTTAGCACAAGGTGTTATAATTAACAGAAATGGTGACCTATAACTGCATTTTCCCATTTCTTATTGTTTGTAATAATATATACGACAAAACTTTTTTTTTACCACTTTTTTTAACCACACACAATACTTTTTTCATCACTCACCATAATCTCCATGGCGGACCACCGTGACGTCCCCCAGTACATGGACATCCCCTGGTTGATCACATGTGTCATTGCTCTCACTATCTCTGTAAAAACAAAATTTAAAGAAGCAGATATGTCCATTATCAATAATCAAACAGTGGATGGCGCCACAGTTGCAACTTTTTAATAACCAGCAAGAAAGACCATCTTGAGCAAGGTTTAAGTACTACCAGATATCTAAAACAGCCTTTGGTAGAACTAGCACCTTCAGGACGGTAACAAAAAATGATGCTGCTTGATATGAATAAGCGTCTTTGTGAGAAGGGCTCCGGTCCCTTTATACTCATGTGTAAGCAGATATTCTTTGCTGGGGTTCATAAGACTTAATTGGGCCCAACGCTGCAGGGGTTAGATGAAAAGACTCGGCCAACCTTGGCAAAATGTTGCTTGTGCAGTTAAACAAATCATAGTTACAGCTGTGGGGGTTGATATTAGCCACAGTGGCCTTTTGTGGTTGGTGTATTTGTGCCTGAGGATGCAACAAGAATTGGTGGGTGGAATGGTGGATAAGCAAAATGTATTTAATAAAAACTTCTGTGAAGTTCTTTCTCTAAGGATGGAAGGATGATCTACAGCTATTATTTTGAATATGTTTCGTTGTATGATGTGCACAAACTCTCTAGTCACTGAAGAAAACAACGAGGCAAAAAGTAATTTATGAATACAATAGTCTAAAATTGCTTGCGTTGGTTAGTAATTGATCATAACCTACTACAAAAGTGCAGTGAAGGTTGTGAATGCAAACAAAAACGGGAAGACTCTAAATGAGGGTGAAGCATAGACCACAGCAGTGTGATTAAAAAAGAGCAATTCATTTTCATCAGTAGTTCTCTCTCTGGACCAAAATGTAGCTCAGTGAGAGACAGAGAGCAAGTGTGTGTGTGTGTGTGTGTGTGTGTGTGTGTGTGTGTGTGTGTGTGTGTGTGTGTGTGTGTGTGGGTGAAGCATGTGGGAGGAATAACAGTGCATCTGCTCCTTAAGTGAAGACATTTTGAAAGATGTAGGGACAGAGTGTACCTCAGTGGCGCATTTAGTTAATATGAGTTTGTGAGTGTAATAATTATCGACCAGAATGACATCTTCATCCAAAGCAACCTGCATTTTAACATACTGGTCAGACTCATCATACATTTTGTCTTCATGAGGCCGCAGTGAGTCATCAACATTAACATCAGATGCCACACAAAGGGGAGAGATCCAGAGATTATTAACACCCCCTCACCCGAGCCCACTGCGGGTGTTCAAGGAGAATGACGTGGGCAAAGTTGTGGGCATGAACAACATGGACTGTGCTAGTATGTTCTTGGCTGAGGAAGTTGGCTCTGTCTGAAAAGTTAACTCGTTAAAATTGTTAACCTCTTCTCAGGTAAATTGTTAACCGGAAACTACTGCCCTGATCCAAAATAATCACATGAAAAGACATGAGAGTGTTTCCATATTAGTATCATGTTGAATGCTTGCCTTAAAATAATGAAGCATTACCATTTTGTTAAGTAATCTGGGTTCTGACTGCATTTTGATATACTAAAGAACATTGTTAGGAATTAATACCTATGTAGCCTATGGGATATTGTTATAAATAAGTAAATAAACTGCGTCTTTGTTTTTGCGCAAGTAGTGTGGATCAGCGTAAGTCATCCAGGGGGGTTTCATTCAACCGAGTTGGTCCTCAATTTGAAGCTAGTATTTTCCCTAATGTATACAAACAGTGTGGTGATTATTGTGCCATGTCACAGTATATTTATCAATGATTGATGAAGACCTTTTTAATCGTATTGTCATGGAAAAGAGGTTTTAGAATGTGCAGCCGAAGTATTAGATTGAGGTAGTGAGATGGTAAGATCTCTGAATGCTGGCTTTATTACTGAACATTTTAAGAAAAGTGATGTCCTTCCATTTGATGAGATGTCCTGTATGGACGGCTTAGGGTTTTGTGTTCAGTATGCGGTGGCAGTACCATTTCATTTCCTCTTTTCTGGAGGAATTTCTATAAAGTCTATTTGTTAATGTCATGTCTGCTCTGCTCCTCTCTCTGATATCCCATTTTTTTTTAATTCAATCTGTCCAGGGGATTTTCATTTTCAGTTTATTGAAAGAATACAATTTGCTGCTTTTGCACTGTCAGAAAGAGTAAATGGAGAGCAGATCTGAGCTGAGATCCAATAGCAAACCCTGCAGGGGATAGTATGCCTATTAAAACAATGATTTGACAATGGCAGAGATGATTCTCCTTGGGGCACATTCCCATCAATTTGCTATAATGTAACTTGTGTTAAAAACATGTGCTTTATGAAGTTCACCATTTGGCGACATGTAAAAGGGAATTCCTAAGCCTTTAATCCCTGGGGAAAAATGCACATCATCTCATCAATATGAGTGACAGCAGTAATAGTAAAAAGCAATAAAGAACAGGAGAGGGGTGTCAAATCAAATAAGCAAGGAGTAGATTTTGACACAAGCGGGGCCTGTTAGAATGGATATAAGATAAATCCAGCCAGAAAGATGTAGCGAGAAAAGAAAAACAAAGGGAAGAACAAGTGGAAAAGAGAATAGAAAGCAGTGATGGTAACAAAGGGAGACTCTGCGGCAGTGACATCACTTTTTCTGTCCCCAAGGGGCCACACATTGTCTCATACAAAGTCACAAGCACTCAAAGTCACAAGAACATCATACAAACCAAGTTCCACACAAATGCATGCTCACACACCTGTTAGATATCTTAACATTCTTGTCTTAACACTTATTTTGGGTTATTTAGTGTGCACTGCAAAGCTGCAAATGATGTTTTAAGTTTCAGTAACACTTGGTGGTGCTTATCAATATCTAAAACATTTCCATAACAGGTCCTATGAACTCCAAATGCCTACAGAGATGTAGAAGTCCTACATTTTTGCACATTGGCACTGATTCTTTGTCCCAATGATAAGTCCCTTACACAATCTTGGTATTAAAGCGCAGGGTAACACTGTTTTGTTTGAGCGTGTACATGCAATCACTACTCTCTCTCTAGTTGTTAAAAGTGAATGTCCCTCTACACAGTGATGTATGGCACTTGCTCCACTGTAATGAAGTTTGAAGAAAACGTGCACAATGTTTTTACACTGAATGAGGGACTGAATGAAACCATTACAGCCTAGCTTTCTACTTTACATATATCAGTTTTTTTAATCCGTCAGCTCTCTGGTTAAGCAGTTCTTATCAGTCTGTCAGACTCTCAATCAATCCATCAATCACATTAGACTTCAGTACATCAGTTGTAAATGTTGAAGTGACTATATCTGCAGAGGCAGGCTACTAGAAGGTTTGATGGAGTAGGCCACAGGGTCTGCCTGCCAGTCACCAGGGTTAGCGGTGACAGCAAGGCCCGGAAACAATAAGTATGACAGACCGGCCTCCCACAGTCTGCTGGTTGACCGGGGAAAAATAATTTGTGGCAAGGAGCAAAGACTGGAAACTATCTTAGTGGGCTCAGTGGGACTTCCTCCTTTAAGCCAAATACTATTAGTAGATTTAGGATTGGCTAGAGAGGGGCCCAAGTATCTATGATGGCCACTTCACAAAGGAAAAGTAATTGAGGAAGAAACTGGAAGTATGTAAAGAAATAATGGTCAGATAAGGTTAATGTGTGTGGGAAAGGCAGCACTATAGTGAGGAAAGCACAGTAGGCCTTGTATCTAGAGAGACCAGCACAAAAATACACCAGTTTACCCCTGGGGGGTGGGGGGGGGGGGGATAATCCTGCTTCTAAAGAACAGGGAGGGCTGGAGAGACCCAGTGGAAACTAGTGATCCCACAGAGACACTAAGAGAAGAGAAAGAGAGTGGTAGACTAAAATAGAAGATGAGGGATGAGGCAAGATTGTCAGATTACTTGAAATGTGTTTGTGTTTGTCAGAAGTAGACACACATGCTCAACCACAAAGACAAACCTCCCGTCTGGTAAGGGCAGCGGCCTTGTCAGTATTTCTCACCTTCTCATATTACAGAACAACATGCATTGTCCCTACCAGTCCCTTGGGTCTGCTCAGCCATCACTTACCCTCCATGGGAGTGTTGCTGTCTGGCCGGTTGGCGAAAACCACATCCACATAGTCAAGTTGCATCCTCTGGAGGGAGCCCTTTAAACCTAAGGGAATATGTAGAGAAAGAAGAAAATGGTCAATAGCCATTATGAGCATCGAGCATATTTTTTGTAGTGCTGGTATAGATTTGTTATCAACCAAAACGTTAACAACGTCGATAAATATTCCTTGTTTTCAAAAGGTTAATTTGACCCACATTCAAATACTGATTTGACATATCCCATATAAGTAACATCCTTGAAAACTTCTACTGATGCCAGGTGACTAAGGATAATTATTTTAGTGTCATGCAGACATGTTAACAAGTATAGAATTATCCTCGATTTTAAGGGGAAGAGTGATAATACCAGTGTTCATCCCCCTTCTATTTCCTTGCAATTTATTTGACAATGTTATGTAGATATAGGAATAACTGCACAATAGAATTTGGTTGTTTGCCGTATGCTTGATTAAAAAGCAACTGCAACTAGCAATTGTTATTTAAAAAAAACGTGTCATTTTAATTATTCAAGCAGTAATTTTTTCTGTCGTTCATTACAACATGCCATCAGGTAAAAGGAAAAATAGGGTGAGTCAGATCCTGGGGGATTAAGAGCCATCATGCTCATGAACATGGCAAAGTGACAGTTGACCACATGTGACTCAAGCCCCCCCCCAGCTGGATCTGGCCTGGCACATCTCATGATCCAACTCACATAGGAATCTGAGCCGTCTGTTTAGTAGGAGTATTGGACTAACATTTGTCAAACAACTAAATAATACATAATCTACGGTCGATCAAGTGACAAATCAAGCTGTTCAAATCAAATCTAATATAAGACTATTTTGCACTTATTTATGAGGAAGAAAAGTCTCCCAGTTTGAAATACTATGTGATGATTCAAAAATATGTGCAGTTGCTATTCCACACGAGTTAGGCTTTATGGTCATAAAACGTTAAGCTCTTATTAAGGGAGAGGATACGGCTGTTAATATGAAGCACATTTGCTCAATAGACCTTTTTCAAAGCATATATCTTGACTAGAAGCAGGAAAGCAAAGGTAAAGGTCATATAATTAAAACGGTGAAACTGGCACAATGCTAAAGCGCTCATGACGTCCACTTTTAGCCACAGTGGCCGAGGCAAAAGTTACATAGTCTCCATTTAATCGCTTGGACTCTTTTGTGACGAAGTAAATGTCGCTGACCCACTTAACAATATACAAGAATTATCTACGGTTATGAAGTGCAAATTAACATTTTGATCATTTTCTTGTCCTAATAAAAGACATCTATATAAACGGTTTTAAAATATAGAAATAGTAGAACTGCCCTGATTAATGTTCTTATTTAGTTTTTACCCTTTTTCAACAGCTACAATATAACAAATATTCACAATTAGAATATATAAGGTTAATTAGTATCAAGCTCAGTGCACACCATTATATCCTTTTAAGAAGATGTATGTGGAGAAAGCCCTGCATCTGTGCAAACTTTGATCCTTCTTGCATACGTTTACTTTGTTTTGACAGGTGGCGGCAAAACCAAACAACTCAAAGCTGAGAGGATAATAAGAAAAACGAGGGCTCTGCTTTCAGTATTAGTTGGAGGCGAAATAGTGTATATTAGGGGGAGGTTAGGAGATGGCAGCACTGTATTGTGAGCAGATAAGTCCCCATTCACACACAGAGAAGACCAGATGAAAGATGAGAAGCAAAGCAAGAGACTGTCGCAAAGGAAGAAAGCAGAGTAATAGAAGCAAGGCAAAAAATACACCCGGGGCTCTTGAGTTTGTGTGACGCAGATTAGTTCCAGAGGCTTCATCGTTTGCCGCTAATTCCCATCTGAAAGTTGCTCTGCGGACTGCCGCTCTAACCACTTATTCCTTCCCCTGTCATCTGCTCTCCCACGATCCCAGAAACACCCTTTACATGGATCCTAATCTGAGCCTGCGCCGTCATCGTGAGCAGTTTCCGCTGTCTCCTGGATAAACTGGCGTTTTCAGGCTGTGAAGGAAGTCTATTTTTAAAACTGAGAAAAGATGATGAACAACAAAGCTATTCTACTGGCATTCGGATTAAATTATACATTCAAATTATGTTTTCCACAAAGTCTCTTTGAAATCTTGAAATTGTCAAGGAATATATTTGCCATGTGATTAAAAATGGTAAACACAAGTGATGTTTTCTGAAGAGACTTTGACGTTTCTTAAGTGTTGATCTCTGATGCTATTTATCATTAAGTTTGACACCCATTTATTTCTAGTAAATGTCACTTAACCAATCAAATGACTCATAGAGTTGCCTGTTTTGGGATGTACAACCAGTAGTGAAGATAATGTTTAGCTCTGCCAAGTTATTACCACTCTGTGACATGTGCCACACTGCAGATTTCTCTCATGGATGCTACCTATTATTGGGACTGGCTTTATCTAATTGGTGAAACCACATTTCCTTCGATTTTTAAATCTCTACCCTTCTCCTCCAGCCTTTCCTAAGTATATTTCCCCTTGTCTTGTTTTGGGGAAGGTTGCAGAGGCTGTGGTGAATGTTAATAACGTGAGAAGCTGAGTCACTGCAGGAGGTGCATTGCGCTGTGGACCGGATGGCCAGTTGTTAGGGAAGTGTGGCGGAGTGGGCCAATGGGATGAGAGAGGTATTTCATTAGAAGCTGGAGCAAGGCCATAATTCATTCTAAAAGAGGAGTGGAGAGGATAGTTTGATGATGATAGATAGCTTGTTGTACACTTGGATAAAAAACACACACACCTGTTACAACTGAAAAGACAACAGTCTGTTGAGGTTTGATGTAATATTGGCTATAAATTAAAAAGATTGTTGATGCTGATAAAAATTAAAGAGCAGAAAGAAGACACAGACAGGAAAAAGGGAGGGAAAGATAAAGGAGAGAGATTACAGGAGTGCAGCAGGTCTCAGAGTGATGGGGTGATGTGAAGGACAAAGCAGCAGAGCGGAAATCGACTTGTTACCTTCAATGATGTGCTTTCTGTTGAGGCCTCTTTCTGTCTCTGCTCTGCAACAGGAGGGAAGGATGTGCATGTCAGAACACATACAGTGGGGCAAAAAAGTATTTAGTCAGCCACCAATTGTGCAAGTTCTCCCACTTAAAAAGATGAGAGAGGCCTGTAATTTTCATCCTAGGTACACTTCAACTATGAGAGACAGAATGGGGGGAAAGAATCCAGGAAATCACATTGTAGGATTTTTAATGAATGAATTGGTAAATTCCTCGGTAAAATAAGTATTTGGTCACCAACAAACAAACAAGATTTCTGGCTCTCACAGACCTGTAACTTCTTCTTTAAGATCCTCCTCTGTCCTCCACTTGTTAACTGTATTAATGGCACCTGTTTGAACTCGTTGTCAGTATAAAAGACACCTGTCCACGACCTCAAACAGTCACACTCCAAACTCCACTATGGCCAAGACCAAAGAGCTGTCAAAGGACACCAGAAACAAAATTGTAGACCTGCACCAGGCTGGGAAGACTGAATCTGCAATAGGTAAGCAGCTTTGTGTGAAGAAATCAACTGTGGGAGCAATTATTAGAAAATGGAAGACATACAAGACCACTGATAATCTCACTTGATCTGGGGGTCCACGCAAGATCTCACCCCGTGGGGTCAAAATGATCACAAGAACGGTGAGCAAAAATCCCAGAACCACACGGGGGGACCTAGTCAATGACCTGCAGAGAGCTGGGACCAAAGTAACAAAGGCTACCATCAGTAACACACTACGCCGCCAGGGACTCAAATCCTGCAGTGCCAGACGTGTCCCCCTGCTTAAGCCAGTACATGTCCAGGCCCGTCTGAAGTTTGCTAGAGAGCATTTAGATGATCCAGAAGAGGATTGGGAGAATGTCATATGGTCAGATGAAACCAAAATAGAACTTTTTGGTAAAAACTCAACTAGACCTGTTTGGAGGAGAAAGAATGCTGAGTTGCATCCAAAGAACACCATACCTACTGTGAAACATGGGGGTGGAAACATCATGCTTTGGGGCTGTTTTTCTGCAAAGGGACCAGGACGACTGATCCGTGTAAAGGAAAGAATGAATGGGGCCATGTATCGTGAGATTTTGAGTGACAACCTCCTTCCATCAGCAAGGGCATTGAAGATGAAACGTGGCTGGGTCTTTCAGCATGACAATGATCCCAAACACACCGCCCGGGCAACGAAGGAGTGGCTTCGTAAGAAGCATTTCAAGGTCCTGGAGTGGCCTAGCCAGTCTCCAGATCTCAACCCCATAGAAAATCTTTGGAGGGAGTTGAAAGTCCGTGTTGCCCAGCGACAGCCCCAAAACATCACTGCTCTAGAGGAGATCTGCATGGAGGAATGGGCCAAAATACCAGCAACAGTGTGTGAAAACCTTGTGAAGACTTACAGAAAACGTTTGACCTCTGTCATTGCCAACAAAGGGTATATAACAAAGTATTGAGATGAACTTTTGTTATTGACCAAATACTTATTTTCCACCATAATTTGCAAATAAATTCTTTAAAAATCAGACAATGTGATTTTCTGGATTTTTTTGTTTCTCATTTTGTCTCTCATAGTTGAGGTATACCTAGGATGAAAATTACAGGCCTCTCTCATCTTTTTAAGTGGGAGAACTTGCACAAATTGGTGGCTGACTAAATACTTTTTTGCCCCACGGTATATACACACACATCTATGCACATACAAACAGTTCTCATGAATTGAAGCATGCAAAACCAGAGCCTGCATAATAAACTACCCACAAACCGCTGAGGAGAAATACACCCACTCGACACTCTGCAGTGTGCCCGCAGCTATAGAACAAACTGTGCGCCGTGTCTTTGCAGCCGGCCAACACAACTCTTGTTGTCACTGTCTGTCCCGATCGCCAGGGATTTGCCAATGGCCTCCCAGTTGGGCTTTGGTGATTTGCATTCAAGAAATATATTAAGTCAACAACAATTAGAAATGTAGTTGAATAGAGCTTGTATATGCAGTGCTGTAACTTAAAACATTTTTTTTTCTTAAGTACTTTATGTAGTACAGGTACTTAACTTGATTAATTTCATTTATATTTGTACACTTATTCCAATAACGCATATAGAATTCTAACTTAATTAAATCTTTCTTTCTTGCTTCCTAGTATTTTGTAAAAGCCATACAGTATGGTTAAGTCAGATAAGACATAACTAAACATTTTACTTCAAGAACAATATTGTATTTGTAGTAAGTATTCATATTGCAGTATATGAGTTTTTAGCACCACTAGACTGACACCAAAAAAGTCCTCTTTCAGGTCAATATTTATAGCACTCTGAAGGAAGTAATTCAGTACCTTTGATGCATATAATACTGTGTTTTCACCAAACAACAGTCCTGAATGCAGTGCCTTTACTTGTTAGAAGACTATTGTGGTCTTTTTACATTTACTTTAACCTGTTTTTATTGATATTGAGGCTACTTTTGTGCAGTGTAACAAGCTATAAACACAAAAACTAATATCACCTAAAACGTTGTAATGTTATTTATGTGATGTTAGCAAGCAATTGCCTATTTACTCATCCACTCAATATGGAACCACATTAGCATTCATTTAGACTTGTGTTTCTTGCCGCCTGACAAATGTAAATCCAATATTCAGTCTCCTTTTAGATTTGTTTTAGTCTCCACCAACTCCTGAGGGAAATATCTTGCTCTGTGGCTGCGTAATGCTCCAATACATTCACTAGCTATAGTTGCCAACTTTTTCTGTCTTGCATGTAGCGCTGAGTATATCAGTTTCTGTGGATTTATAAAGTCGTGCTTAAAACACCTAAAGTTTATCTAAAAATAAGGCTGATACGTTTGGTGAGAGTCAACCGACATGCTGGGCCATAAAACTAGTGATTTGTCCGTAGCGCCACCTGCTTTGACTTCCCTTTTAGATTTCCCCATGCCTGCTTTTCCTTTTTCTACTTAATTATTTACTTTTCTTTCTGCTCCAGTGTCTCTCTTTGCTCAGTTGCCTGCCATTTGTCTTGTTCTTGCTTCAAATCACACTTTCTCTTCCCGCCTCCCGCCTTCCTGTGGTGTTCCAGCCTGCCTGGGTTATAATAATGTGGTGCAGAACCAAAAACATGCTGTCCTCCTCCGTGTCATCATGTCTTCTTCTGTGCAAAAGTGTAGGGAAGTGCAATGGAGAATAAAGTGTGCAAATGTGTACTGTATGTTTGGGTGATGAGATGCTTGACAGGCCTCTCTGGCAGACTCACAGCTCGCTAAACGGGGGGTTGAGTAGCTGTTCTGCAAATCCATCTGGCGTGGAGACTTCATACCTCGACAATAGTCTGAGAGGATCAGCTTAAATTAAATGTACTGCTCCTGGGCCCTAATATACTGATTGACAAAATAGACAGAAAACCAGAAGAAGAGTGGTAGCTTTTACCTCATTTTGTACGCACCTGAGACTTAATGTTACTAATGCATTTTGAGAACAGAATACTTCATTATGACAGAAGAAGCATTTATGACAGTTTGATAAAAAGGCTGAGGAAGGGTATGAAGTGAAGCAAGAAGGGCTGAGAACACAGCCACGTGTAAATCTGTACGTGTGTGTATGTTGAGTGTTTCCTCCCTGTCTGTTCGCCAGTGGGTTTTCCAAAATGCCCGATGCCTGCCATGTCAAGCTCTGTGTCAAATGTTTTAATCGGTAGCCTGTTCATGGTGAGATAGCCCAAGCATCTGAGAGAAAACTGCCCGTGCTGGACGCCATACACTCACTTCCATGCACACACACACTTACTTTCCTCCCCAGTAGAGCTTCGTTGTGATAACCAGGCTGGATCTCCTGAGAGGATGACAGACACATCAAAAAGCCATCAAGTACTTTGAAGCTGTTGTCAAAAGGATGTGTGTGTGTCATCATGTCCATGCCTGAATTAGTGTTCTCCAGTGACCTTCTCTCCTGCTGTGTGAATTGGCAGATTATCAATCATGTAAATGATCAAGTATTAAGAATCTCAGAGGGGCTCTTTTCTCTGCACTCTAATAAGAAAGCTCTCTCACTATTAAATCCTCCATGCTTGAATGATCAATAATTTAAACAGATTGAGGTGAGGGCAGGCTGCGAGCTGTAACTGATTCTTCTCACTGCAATGTGGCAGTTTATGCAGTATAAATGTATGAAACTGATATGTTACGTGGTGCAGTGCAGTGAAAAGCATATGCTTTATGTTGAACTGTAAGCAACAGGCATGATGATATTTCATGCGGTTTACATTTACATACAGAGATATCAAGGATTTAGTGCTTACAAAATCCCAGCTATTGGTGAGATTGATAATGTAGACATTCTCCACCTTCCACCCCCTCAAATGACCATGTGCAGTCAGTGCTTGAAAGCATACAGGAACACATTTAGCATATGTATCTTGTAGAGAGACGCCATATGACCAAAATAGTTGGGTTCATATTCCTTGTTTTGGCTTAGGTCCTTCAATTTAATAAAGGGAAATGTTGATGCTTAAGTTTCCTCCTGAGCAGACCCCCAAGTGATCCTTACATAAATCCGAGGGATCAGGTAGATATTTATTTTTGATACACAAGGGCAAGTTATTTAAATCCATGCTAATAGAATGGCTACATGTTGGTTCGGTCAGTTGTTATACCACTATGGCCCGGACTGAAATATCTTAACAACTCGTGTGTGGACTGGCTCAGAAAAGCTATTGTAGAGAGAGAGAATCCTAATAATGTTTGTGAATCCCTTTAGTGTTATTATCATTATCCGATACTTTTATGGTTCATTAACAAATTCCTACACAACTTATATTAACATGATCATAAGCTGTACTTTGTTTTTACTGCAAATTAGCATGTGTTAGCATGCTAAACACCAGACCTGTTATCATTTTAAAAGAGAATGCTTCATTTTAAATCACAAACTAAACATTATGAGGATAAGCATGCTAGAAGGTAGCTTGCTTGTCCAAAATGACAGTGTCACAATGTACAGAGAGAAGGGACATAATGTAGTTTTCTGGGTGGAAAACTTTGAGAGAGCCCTGAACCTTAACCTCATCCAACGACTTTGGGAGAAATTGAAACGCCAACTGTGAGCAATTCTTTAACACATCAGTACATGAAGTCAGTACTGCTCTTGCAATGGGAATAAATCACTGCAGCCTCAGAACAGTGCATGCATATTTGGAATAAGATGCTAACGTATCGGCACATATTTCTTTAGCTTGTCTTACTTTTGGCCTATGTTGTGTTTACGATACACAATGTTAACTCTATTCATAGAACACATTCAGAACCTTAAGAGAGTGCATTTTACCTCCAGCATTTTTTCTTGATGATGTTTCCAAGGATTATCTCTGCTCTGTAAAGAGAAGAAGAGGAAATACACTATGAGAAGATGAGATTATATCTAAGGCTGCCATTTTTCTAAGAGCATGTAAGTGTGACAGTTATCTGCCATTCTACAGCATGAATATTTGATTAAAAATCAGCAACACAGCAGATCAAGATAATAGATAAATCCCTGTATTGTAAGCCTGAATTTCCCCGGCAACCTTGAAATTAATATTCATGCGCATATAGCTACAGCCTGCCCACATTATTCAGAAAGACAATGTCGAGGCTTATAAAGTGAGATTGAGCTGTGAACATAACGGAGAGCCTCCAGTGATGAATGAGATTATGCAAATCACTCTGGAGTGCACCTTTCGTTGTTTCCCTCCTCTTGTGAATATTTCCTGATCTGAGGCTAACATTGTAAACACCTTGTGTCCTAAAGCGATAAAGCGAGAAAATTGCTCGGTGGGTGTAAGATAGATAACAAATCTGAGACATCACTCACTTCCCACCGGAGTAGACTTCAGCTGTGTCAAACAGGTTGACCCCGCTCTCATAGGCGATAGTCATCAGCTGTTCTGCCACCTGACGCAGAAAAGAAAAGTGTTCCCCCCCATGGACTTTAGTGTGTTATAATTCATGAATGTAAATATCGACCAAAATAACATAAAACAAAGAATGTGCTAAGAAAATTCCCTGAAGAAGCTGAGGGAGAGTTAATCTATTCTCCACTAAGATACACATCATCAGAAAATGTCTAAAATGGTTTCTCTCTCTCTCTTCCCGTTCTATCTGTCCTATCTCTATAATAGAGGCAAAAAAGGCACAGAAAAAAAGAAAGAAAAGTTGTTTACTTCTCAAAATATTTTCCCAGACTATTTTGTCCTAGTTCTTGTGCTTTCAGTTTATTCAGAGCCATAAACCGGAAGCCCAATTTAATCATGATGACTTTCTCTTTTTGTTTTGTGTGTGTGTGTGTGTGTGTGTGTGTGTGTGTGTGTGTGTGTGTGTGTGTGTGTGTGTGTGTGTGTGTGTGTGTGTGTGTGTGTGTGTGTGTGTGTGTGTCAGTTAGTCCCAGTGGTCATCAGGCAGTGATGAGCTGTCTCCAATTCAGTGGCTTACCCCTTCAAGGCCAGATCAAAGCTCTGGAAGAAGACTTCTGCTTAATAGCTTGTGACAGGGGGCAATGTGACCTGACCATTTGGCCTTGGAAGAGCCAACAGGGACTTAACAGCATGCTGTGATATTGGGAAATCGATACTAGAATGATTATTGTGGTCTACTGACACTAATGCCATTTTACACCCAGCAACACTTAATGGCTCCCATAGGGGCTAAAGATTGGGGGTGTTGTAATGTAAACTGTCAAAAATAATGAGATCCAAGATCTGCTGATACAGTGACGGCTGAATGTTGGATTTGACGTAACATCTTACCTCATCAGAGATCTGACCTCCAAATGTTACCCATGTGCCTGCGGAAGGAAACATCAAAGTCAAAGTTTTGGAACAACAAACAAAAACATAAAAGACCTTTGCATCACTCATAATCATGTTAGTTGTGCATTAATTAGTACTTTGACATTTTGGCATGGACAAAAAAAAAAAAGGGCCTGAATCCATCACAGTCAAATGTCAGGGTTGAGTGTTGTTGAAAACATTTTCTCTGCTATATGAATTTGGAATGAGTAAGCTACTGAGCAGATGTCTGTGTGGTTATATTTAAAGAAACACGGCAGCAACTTGGGGTTTTTGTGTTTGCTTGTGAGGGTTTATAGTATGTGCATACATTATGGTTGTGTTAGTTTAAGTACAAAGACTCTTTTCTCCCTTCAAACAGCAAAGGCTGAACACAGTTTTAGGTACACACTTTATATTTTCCAGAGCTTCTGTTGAAAGATTCTGTAACATGCAGCTGGTTGTCATCTCCCACTAATACGCAATAATGCAGAAGCTGATGTTACATTTGTTAAAATAACTGCAGCAGAAGTACGGCAGCAGATGAATTTTCTAAGAGGGCAATTGTTTAAAGTAAAAGAACACTTTCAAATCATTATTAAATGCCCAATTACATTTTAAGTAAACTCTAAGTTCTATTTTAGGCTTTATTGACATTAACAACATTTTAAAATAAATGGTTTTACATGTTGGGAAATATATTGATTAACACCACCATTAATATGTAAGTCTAGCTCGAACCAGCAGCTGGAGCTTAACATAAAGACAGGAAGCAGGACAATTTGTAATGTCTACATTTTGATTCTTGCAAAGAAATAACAAAGATTAAACAAACTGTTTCCTTTAAATGAATGGATGGCAACATACTGCTTAATGTGCTATAAATAAGTCTTTAAAAACAAATCACTACAGGGATAATTAACTAATTCACAGATGTTCCATCAGTTAGTATTTAAAGACACTGCATCATTTATTTTCTTTGTCAAGATATTTTGTCTTCAGAGACGCACCCCCATCAATAACTTAGTATACTGATAGAATACAGCAAACAAATGCACACCAACGTGCATGCCACACACACACACACACACACACACACACACACACACACACACACACACACACACACACACACACACACTAAGTGAATAATTGACATCAAGATAAATGGGAGTTATCACCCTCTGCCGTGCAATCGATATGTGAGATAATTGAGCAACTTGTTTTCTAAAAACAGTGCTATTGATTAAATATTTAAAATATTTTCTTGCACTTGGATGCTTACGAATTCATTAGGCATTTAGCTCTGATGCTAATTAAATGTACTCACCCAGCCCCAGACAGGAGACACGCAACCCAGATTTCCCCAGGTTCCTATGAAGAATAACAGACTCTGATTATGAAACAGCGATGTTTAGGCTCAAGAAGTCATCAGTCAAATACAAATGCAATTACTGCACTGCTGTATTTTGCTCTGGGCAAAGATTTTCTGCCTAAACAACGAAAACATCTATTTTCTGTCCAACTTGAGAGACTGAAATGAAATGACAGCCATTTTGCTATTATGGAGCTAACAACATAAGCAAAAAAAAATCAATAGTGTTTGCAAGGCGCATAATAATAACATCATATGTAGCGTGTCATGTTCGATTGAGAGGAGGATCACTAATGTGAGGGTGACCTTGTCACACCTGCATTCATGAATCAGAATGGAGGGATTACAGGAGGGAGGACAGCTTTATTCCATCAATATGGATCGCACCTTCTCTGGTATAAGAGAACGTCCCTCTAAACACCCTGGAAAATATTCTACTCAACCGTAAAAATCCAATTACTGTTGCGCTGAGTTTGGGACACTACTTTTGACAAGTGTTGCCCTTATTCCCCTCATCCCTCACTCTATTACCTCCTATATTCCGATGAGCCTTGTGCTGCCTTACAGCAGGAAGTACTTCTGTCCTTCGGCTTTTTACTGTTATTGGCATCCATTCTTGCTCTTAAGCACTAGAGGTGTATCATATCAGGATTTCTCCACAGCTCCTCACACTTGTTTCCCCCTGCTATCCCTCTACCTAACTGTGGAATGGTACACCTCCTGATGTCTCCTTGATAACAGTTAATTTCCCTCCAGCTGATTTGTGGAAATGTAATACAGCACTTTTGGCTCTCATTGACCCCATGGACGATAAACTAAGAGAGAGTTCTTGCACGGAGTCTCAGCGCTCCACTTCACCCTTAGTTTCACAATCTGTGTCAAATCGTGTCCAACTGAGAGGGGAACTCAAGTGTTTAATGACATAAAACCGGCGATAACATCAGATTATTCTCCTTACAGCCATCCACAGATGTCTTCAAACAGTGTAATGACTGTGGACTGTGAAAGAAGAAGTGATGCGCCGCCCCGAGCCATCTGATCGAGGAAACATTTCGAAGCAAAACCCTGTAACATTGAGACACATTGGTCTGACAGAATCATCGAGGCCACATCGCAGAGCCACTATCACAGGCCACACACTTCATCCCGAGAGAAGAATATGTCCAAATACTCATTTCTTGACACAGCAACAAGCCCTAATTACATTCTGTGACTTCTGCTTGGTTTTGCAGGCATGTAGTCGTTACGAAAAATAAAGACGGAAGAAATGCCAGCAGGGTTTTTCTCGTGCCTGATAACTGATGGCCTGCCCCATTGAGCTTAAGGCAGACAAATCCAAGCCTGTGCAATGTTACCATGCCCTCAGCCAATTAAATTAGGTGTTCAACATGGGGAAGCGTCAGTCATCGTGTCAGTAGTTCAGCCAAGTTAAAGGAGGGAAATAAAGATGAATAAACACTTTATTTGATACATTAGCGGATTTTTTGACGTTTAAGGCATTGATGACAACATGACAGGAGACAGATCTCGCAGCCACACATTGTGGGATGTGTTCTTGTCTCTGATATGGTGGAGGAGTTTAAATATTATATCCTCCCTCTCTCTGATGTATTATGGAGTGGGAGCTCTGATCCGTGAAAGTGTGGGGGAGGGGCTGTACTGTAAGTTAGAAGTGGGAAACTGACTGAAAGTGTGTGTGTGGTTGTGTGTGTGTGTGTGTGTGTGTTCGGGGGGTTATTTAGGGCTGCACTGATGGTGTTTGCTGCTGCGTGCATTCCAAGTTGCTCTGGGTGAAACATCTGCTTAATGCTTACAATGCAATGGAATCCTTGTGCATACAATTGCCTCGGGCCTTCATTGATACTGTTTTCATGTTTACAGTGGTACGTCAATGCACACTGTCTCTACAATGAAGAAGCTTGCACGACTTCCATTTACAAATAAAGCTGGCTGTCCTTGAAAATTGCTGTCTTTGTCTTTTGAGATCCTCTACAAGCTATACTTGCAGTGCTTGTGTTATACTTTGAATACAAACAGGATGCTGTAATGATAGGTGAAGAGGTTCTGACGTTCTGCTGGCGGAGAAGCTGCCTCAATGCTGTATTTTCTGCCATACCTGATTATTAACCACACAGCCGGCTATGGAGCAATAATAGATCTGTCCAGGTCTTGGAAGTGGGTGACAGCGGGGCCACATTTCTAAAGAACCCAGTGATTCAGGGGATTACAGCATATCATTTGCAACAAAGAAAAGAAAATGAAAACATTGTGTTTACAGGCTTGTGTGGATGCGGGGAGAAAATAGGGCTGCTAGGATGCATTGACACAGGTTCATTATACAGTATATGAGTTACATTTTAAATGTTAAGATAGACTCAATAAGGAAAGGACCACTTGTCCATACACACCGCCACATAAAACACTTTGCAAGCCATGTGCCTCGGCCCCTCATGCTTGGATGGTGCCTAAAAGAAGCCTTGAAGTAAAATGACAAATGAGTCATTTCAAGACGCCCCCTCACACAAACCTGTCACCGCTTATGAACATCCTGCGATGCGATGGTTCTATGTAGCCATTGCATTTTCTTAGTGGATCCCCAGTTGAGATAAATAAAACAATCTAATGAACATCTGGCCGCATTTATTGTGTCTTGATCTCTGGAGTAATCACCTCTCATTGTGGGAGGATGTTTTGTTGTCCTGGAAAGCACTTGGTTCCCAGGTCACACACAGGCATGTCTTATCATTTATATGTTGGATTGCTCAAATCAATATTCGTCAGCTAACACTTTTGTCAAGGTTATGAGTAGAGATGAAACCCCTCACTCTGGGGATTAATGTAGGCTAAGCAACCCACACAAGCCAACCTTGATGGGCAGAGGGATTAGACAACGCCCACCTCCTCAGTTCCCAGTGCTCTCCCAATGTTGTTATCAAAATAACTCAGGTCAGGCTAGAAAGGGGTTCATGATCTAAATATCAAAGCCAGGGCCCATGTGGGTGGGAAGAAAGCAGGGAATTGAAATAAAGGGGAAAGAAATAGATTAAGTATGAAGGAGAAGCTTCAGGAGACATGCAGGGGTGAAAAATAACCAGGAAGCCTACATGTTCAATTTCACCAATATCAGGAGGAGGGAAATAGATGTGCTATGAAGAGAGACACAGACACTGGCCTTAAGTCTATAAGCAGTTCTAATGGCCTCTACAGATAAAGCTCACTATATGACACAGAATGGGAAATAGGAAATGACAGCTGGTTCCCTGCAGTGCCCTGCACAATGCCTTGTTTGTATGGTGTATGGTGTGTGTGTGTGTGTGTGTGTGTGTGTGTGTGTGTGTGTGTGTGTGTGTGTGTGTGTGTGTGTGTGTGTGTGTGTGTGTGTGTATAGTCTGGATACAACTTTCTGCCTTGTTTTCCCGTAGGGCTAAAGTCCACATTGTATTTACTTTTCAAGCAGTATTCATCCACACGTACAAACGTATAAATGCACACAATGTTATTTTTACGGTGTTGTAAAAAGTTATTCAAAACGGATAGGTAGAAAATCTGTCACAGAATAACTGTATTTCGGCCTATGATTTCGGCGGAGACACATGATCTAAGCCAGTGGTCTGTGAGTTGATCCTGCATTGCAAAACATGTGGGAAGATCTGAAGTGGTGGATTCAGAAGGTTGGGGAGAGCTTAGCAACGTTGGAAGGAAATAGTGTCATTATAACACAAAAACCAGTAGACAGTACACGCTGCTTCTTAGCAAAATGAAAATGAAGGCGTTAATCCAAAACATTTTTAAATGTATTGTCAAGAATTTAGAAATGATTCTGTATAAAATCAAGTGAAATAGTTGATTTGTCTTTGTAGCTGTTTTGTAACACAACTCAATTATAGTAGCGACATTGTATCTTGCCAAGCTGGGTTTTCTGACACAAACTGTAAGGTAAGTGAGTGTTTATTTGACATTTGCCAAACTTACAATATGTATAAAGACAGATGACAGCTCAGACAGATTTTAAGAAACATATATGATTATTTTTAACTTTTTCATCCCAACCAATAAGCATGGTTTTTCATACTGTTATTTTACAGTTTTCCATCAGTTTTATAGCCTCAAATTATCTTTGTGATTATAGTCTGTTTAAAGAGACCGCTTCAGAAGAAAAACTAAAAATTTCATTTGCAAAGTAACACTATTAGAAAGCCATTACGCTCACAGAAAAACATTTTAGTTGTGACCTTTAATTAAAAGGCAAAATCCATGCAAAACGTCCTGGCTGTTTAACAGAGAGATTGGGCGGATCTCATCCTTGGGGACTTGTTTGATCTTTAGGCGGAGTGCAGCTGCATGCTGCACGGCTCCTGTTGTGCAACACCCTGGCTCATATTATTAGAACTACACATCATATAAATTAACACAAGGAAAATATGTTGGAACATCAAATTCATACATTTTATCCAAAGAGTGAAGACTTTTGATGTTTGATAAAAAAACTGGGCAAAAAAGCAACTCAACGAGCTGGATACACACCGTGTGTCTCTGGGCAAAAGCAACATTATGGGTTCAATGCGTGCACACACGCATGAAGTCATGCAAACACACACGCATGTATGCACACACAGGCACCTGCGCATGCACACACATACTCAAAGTTCACAACAAACAAACAAACAAACGGAGAGCAACAACCAAGCAAATTATGATTTATGGAGCACAAGTCCCACAGACTGTTCTCTTTCTGCGGACAGAGGTTAAATCAGTCCTCACAATTCAGCTGTAAAAATTGAGCCCTTTGTGTAATATTCACAGCGCATAAACCCATTGAATAATTTGGGAAAAGAGCTGATTTCTAGCTTCATGCAAGAAATTCTGCAATGTATTCCCCGCGTATCATCAGTAATTTGTTATCTTTTTTTCTTGCAAGAAACCCATCCTCTGCTATCTATGGCGAGAAGTGATAGTGTTTGTAAAAGCACTTCCAAAAGTATTTTTGCTTCAGGTTTAATAGCACGCTGTTTTTTTTTAAAAGAGGGACTTTAGAAGAGGAAATATTTTTAATTAAAAGGATTAAGCTAGAGGCAAAGTAGAGTCATGCATGAATACATCCATTCAATCTGGGGCTAGGATTTCTGGTAATTCAATAAGAAAATAGTCTATCTGAGATGTCACATGGTAAAGCTTCTTTTTGTATACTCGTGTGAATTAAATACTTGATAAATTCATTGTTTCTTCACCGAATGATGAGACTGCTGTAATCTTCAAACGATATTCCCTCAAAACATTTCAGTTAGTATTTGGTTGCTGTTGTTAACCATTTAAATGCAATTTTGTATCATTTTATCCTTATATCATTCCAAAGAGGGACGATTCATTATCATATTGAATTATTGCCTAGCCCTACAATACAATAATATTTAAATATTTATATATATATATATATATATATATATGGTAGTTTATTTTCCTCATCAAAGTAAAGTAAAACTCAAAAGTGCATTGTCAAAGACTTTAAGAAATGATTCTGGAGGGAATCATACGACAAAGTTGTAGGGTTAGAAACATAGCAATTATGATTCTATATTAGGAAATCATATGGTTTGATTACGATAATAGAAAATATATGCCAAATAACAACACTTTATCTTGCCAAGCCCTAAGATCTGATGCAAACAGTCTATTCCGTGTTCACACAAAAAAGCTTTGGATGGCTGGTGTATGCATTACTCACACTATCAACACACATGTTTGCTGTAGACAGCAGAGAACGCCTCTCTCTCTGCTGGCCGCTGATAAGCCTGCATCCAAAGGAACTGACAGAAGGGATTTCTGCATGCCCATCTGCAGCTCTGAACCAACCGAGTGGAATCTTCCCCAAATCTCCTGGACTGTCAAAAGACCTTCTGCTGCCTAATGACCGTCATCAACTTCAGGCGACCAGGGGCTCCCTACCAGGACCCAGAAGTAATCTGACCGTTTGTGAAGCCAGCAACGACAGCATGGTTTGTTACAACACACACAGCATTTTGGCTATGTGTGCTTGTTTGTGGATTTGTGTACAGCATTGAAAAGTACCAACTTGGGGACCCCACAATTACACCTACTCTATACTTGGCCACACTATACATCGTCATGACAACTAAAATGCTGTAGATGGTGGTATTATTAGTTTATGCTTGCTCGCTCTGCACACTAAATGTCCTGCTTTGACTTGCTACGCCTTCAGATGTTCCCAGTGCAGAGCCTTAACGCCACGCACATCTAATAAACATACATGCACTCATGTATGTAATTCAATGCACCAAATTACACCACCCACTAACACCCACCCACCCTTTGTGTATAAGTACTTTCAATTGTTATCTCACTAATGAAACTTCACATATATTACACAACATCTTGTTGTGGACTTATCTTGAACTCAAGAAAAAGAGATTCCCCATCATATAGTGTCCAAAGCAATGCAGTCATCTGCTTTGACAAAACAGCTAAGGGTCAGTGGTTTGAAAAAAAAGACAGAGATACAAAACTGGAAGAGAGAAGGACAAGCATTGTTAGACAAACAGGGTCAAGAGTCGGGATGTAGCAAATTAGATATTTCATCCTACATTGACTTTCCTGAAGTAAAAATTGAGGATTTGCCAACGGCTTATAGGAAGCTTTACTGCTTACATCTTCCACCTGTTTTAGAAAGAGCTACAAGATTAAACAGATCCTCATGTTACAAACCAAAATAAATACATTTTGGAAGCCATGTACCTGGCATCACTCCTGCATCAGAAGTACAGCAACATGTTTGTATCGATTTCTCTCTCCAAGGAAAATAAAATCAGTGGTGAATCAAGCATTAGCAGCTATTTTCTTTGGCTGCATCTGTGAGTTAAAGGGAGATTGAAATTATAGAGTCCATAAAAAATTCAAAATGTATATCTCAGTAAATGGAAGAAAACGATGTTGTGAATGCTGAAGCATTTAGCACAATGGAGCCTTCAGGCTTGTTTGGTTCTGGGAACAGATTGAAGTTGGCCATTTCAATGTTGTTATAGAAACGAGATGAGATGAGAAGTGTCTGCGTGTGTGACACGTCTCACATGAACTGCTCCGCATCCAATCCGCCCAGATTCTGTAATTGCCTCTTTTCCGTGAACTGACCCGCGTGCCCCATTTTCTGTTCTATTCACTCTCTAATTCTTCCTTTTTATAGTTCTCTTACTGTCTTTCTTGCAGTTACTCTTTCTAATGCCCCCCTTATCTCTCAGTCTCTCTTGGTCCTGACACCTTAAGTGATCAAGCTACTATTTGCTCCTGCGATCTGAGTTAAGAGCCAACTCACTGACAAAAGAGCATTGTTTACTTTTGCTACTACTCCCACACACCCACACACGCGGGTGTTAAACTGATGCTGGTGGTATTGAATAAACTCACGAGGGACTTAAAGATCAAAGTCCAATTTTTATAAAGTGCTGTGCTATAGATGCAGAGAATCGACGGGCGATGTATCCAACTCAATGGAGTGCACTTTATCATGTCAGTTAAAGCCATTCCAGTTCTTAACCAATTAAGAAAATGTTGAGACGTTTTTATCCGTCTTCATCACATGAAAAATGGAATCTCTCTCTCAAATTGCACTTCAATTCAATTACAATCCAAACAACCCAAACTGTCCCAGATCGCGGTTTGCTAGACGCTCTTAACTGTGGTATAATTATAAAGAGTTGCCAGTAAATCTGCATAACAAATACAAAAGCACAGACGCCCTCACGCTCAGAGCCTCCCACTCATCACCTGTCACTGCTCATATCTTCGTTGTGTCTCCAGCAGGGCGCTTTTAATTGATTTAGCCTCACTTTTTAATGTTTTTTGTTATATAATGTGTTGTCATTCATACTCAGTTATTATTTGTCTACCCTCACATTCAGAGTTGTGGCAGGGAAGAAACTGAATACACTTCCACCTTCTTACCCACTCTTCTATCACACAGTCTCCACCACCAGGTCTACGTACCGGTACTTCATGCCTGTGAGCTTGGCGGTGGACTCCTTGAGGTTATGGTGGTAGCGGTGGGTGAAGGTGCTCAGGCTGCGGGCGATCAGGGCCACGGTGCGGAAGCGGGCGCGGGCCTTGCTGGCTGTGTTGGGGCTGGTGGCGTTCTGCTTGCTGTGCTCGCCGTTTCGCGGGGCCTTCAGCCCGTGGTCCGTGCATGCAAAGGATACCTGCATGGTTGTTAGCTAAGGCCACGAGAGCTGTCCTCAAAGTACTAAACAGTATTTTTATTCCGTCTGTGGAACCTAGATAAAGTCCTTGTTGTTCTTATGTTAAATCGAAAGCCGGTAATCCAAGCCACTTCTGCTTAGTGCTGCTGAATCTCAACTGGACAGGCAGAAATACCAGAAGCATGAGATTGTTCAGTTTCTTTAAGGAGAAGACTCTCACGCTGATGTTGTTTCAAGATTGCTCATAGCAGCAGTGCAGTCCTGGTCAGTGTGTGAAGGGTTGAGATGGGGATCCTGTGCCGGTCTGACTCCACCTGAATATATGAGAGAGGATGGATATGGAGGGAGAAGGATGAAGGAGAAAAGGCACTGTGTGAGTCGGTTGAAGGAGAAGCCCAAATGAGAAGAGCCCTTGAGAATGTGTGTGTTAGAGGGGTGAGGGTTAAAGGAGGGAGGACATGAGGGAAAGGCGCTGCTAATCCAGAAGAAGAGAAAATCCAGAGTGGAAACCCTTTGGTGTTTTCTTTTGCTGTTGTCTCCTGTTTACAGTTATTTTTTTGGCTGAAATCTCTAAGCTGTCTCTGTGAGGTAATGTGAAGAATGAGGGTCGTTCTGCCCTAGTTTTCCTTGCCTTCCTAACTCATTTTTCTCTTCGTTGTCTGTTCTGTTATATCTTCCTCACCTCATCGCATATCAACTGTTGTGCACTTCCCTCACATTTGGTTCCTTACTTGCTTTCTGGCTTTCTTTCCACAAACACATCAATTCTGCTTTTGATTCCTCTTTTAATGCATTTAAATCTTAGAGCGACTGTTAGGAGTTGTGGGTGTCTGGGGAGTCTTTCTTGCCCTCTAACCTTTTATCCAACCACCTGAAGCGAGGAGAGCAACACTGCACCATCACACTTCCATACATACATACACATTATCACAGACAACCTACAACTCTTCCTGTAACACATCTTCATAATATGGTCATGCTTTTCACACAAAACCAAACAATTACATACTAACACTTACAATTATCTGGCAAATAACTGCATTCTAACCACTTATAACACACACAATGAAATCTGTACTGGTACAAGTGTTCTTCTTACTGAATCGAGTCTTCACCGTTCCCTGAGAAACAAGGACGAGGTTCTTGATTGACGTGCCCTTCAGCAACTTTCAGAGGAATCAAGCGTTGTTACTCAGCAAGCAGATGCCCAGGGAAGATCCGCATCCCAACAGAAAGCGGAAACAACTGCAGCGTGTCCAGCAGCTGTCCTCGGACCCGGCAAAACAACCTTGTCCCGTCTCCAAAGTCCTTTGAGCCAGTAACACAGGCTTTACGGTCCCCTTGAATGGCAACAGACAAGCGGAGAGGAGGAGGAGGAGGAGGAGGGAGCAGGATGCATGGTACCTCACTTCAGGGAGGACAGATGCAGTGAGGAGGCGAGGATCAGCGTGTGTTGAGCGTAGAGAGAGTGAGCCATGCGCTGAATGAGCGAGAGAGACAGAGTGTATGGGCTTCTGGCTCTGACTGACTGGGAGAGAGAACTGCAGTGTTTTCCACTATGGCGCCACACACTCACAGAGAGAGAGAGGAAGAGGTATATTCTGAATGGAAATCAAGGGAGCAGATGTGAGTTGATGTGTGTGTGTGTGTGTGTGTGTGTGTGTGTGTGTGTGTGTGTGTGTGTGTGTGTGTGTGTGTGTGTGTGTGTGTGTGTGTGTGTGTTTGTTTACTTCAGGCTGGTTGGTTATAGTAGTTGATTTCAGTAACCTAAATGTGAACATCACAGCCATGCTTCACTGGCGAAGACTTATGAGGCATTTGACTTGCCCACCCCCCCTCTTTTTGATGTCTGCCATTACAGTGCAGTAGCATTTAATTTTACATTGCTTAATTCAAATCTATACATTCAACAAGCAATTTTTATTATTGCAATTGTGCTATTGTATATTACAGCCTTATTTCATTCAATAAGATAGACAGTCACTGACACCTCAGATCAGATGTTAAGTGGCAGATGAACAAGTGTTCAGGCAGCGCAGCGTCTTACTTTCCTCCCCCACTGAGCAGTAATGTGACAATGCAGGATTTCATGGTTCACGGAGCATCCAAGAACCTTAAGGCCAGCATTTATTTATATCCTTGTGATTGCATTTGATAACAGAGAAAGTTTGTTTGGCAGGGCTCGGTCGCATGTGATGCCAAACTTGGCTTTTGAGCTAGTGGAGGCTGATTTTGATAAATATTTGTTGTGAATAAATGAAATATATCATTGTTGTCGATGTTACTCTTTTTAAGTGTTTTTCCTAACAATACTGCAATGTTATGCTACAAAAGGTTTTTGGCAAGTTACCTTCAGAGATCTCACAATGCGTTAAAGTCAACACTAAATCATGATTGTATTGAACAATATTCGGAGCTATAATAATTATTGAAGAAAAATATCCCTTAAGGGGTTTTCCAATCACTTACACTTCCACAAAATTGGAGCACCGACAAGTCATTTATTGAAAAATTTGAAAACTTGAAGCAAGACTGTCCAAGATATCCAGACCTTTAATCTGGGTAAACATCCATAAATCCTCCTGGATCCTACATTTCCTAAAATGCAACTTGAGTAAGTAATGTGTTAGACCTCCCTTGCCTTGTAGTGCTTCCACATATTAAACTCCCATCCTGAATAGCTTACTAGAAAGAAAAGGACGATTACATTTTATATCTTTTTTAAAACCACATTCCCCCTGTGCCATGAGCCATTCACATACAAGTATGTGATGGACCTGACATCATCGGGGTTAGTTTGAAGTTCAAGGACTTTCGAAAGCTCCCTTTAGGGCACCTAAAAGATGTTATGCAACTATACAAGTGTTTTCAAAGGCTGAGAGGCAATTCCTTCTGACGGGTAAACTGATCTTAATGCGCAAAATAATTGGAGTGCACATTTAAATCAAACAACTTTTTCAATCAAACCCTGAACAACAGCACAACATGCTGCCATTTCTACATCTTCTACAGCTGGGCTTGATGATGTTCTGCGACGCTCTGGAGGCTTCGCAGTTGGACATCTCTAATGTCACCAGCTCCTCCAAGGCTTAAAATCCTTCCTGTCGATCCCATTCAAAAGTATGTCAGTCAAAAGAGTGAACTAGAACTGTTACATTGTGGCTGGAATCCCCAAAGGGCCATAACGCTGTTGCCCTGAGGCAAACCACTCTGATTAAATGTCTCCAGTAAGAATAGAGTTCTGAAACTGTAACGCTTAGACACAAACCTCCATACGGCTTGTACGCATGTTGAAATCTGCCCCATGATGGTGCATGACTGCTTTTTTAACCTAATCCTCGATTTTCCCCCAGTGTGGACATCTGTTCTGCTTGATAGCAATGTCTGTGTTGCTCCACATGCTGCCAAATATTCTTTTTATGCCAGTTGAGAACAGTGATGGCCACTATCCGCAACTATTAATACTGTCACAGTGTTCAGCTCTGTTTAACGATGTTTGTGTTTGCAGTTTAACCCTTGTGTTTAAAGGCTGTTGTCTTACCAGCACTTACCTCCCGTTGATTGTGAATGAGGATGATAAATGGGGGAACCTTTCCAGCTGTATGTGACCATCATCGCTGCAGCAGCACACTCTCACTTCTGTGTCTTTTCCTCTGCTATGGCTTTTTCTTCACGTCTTTTGTCTGTCGGTTTACTTTGTTTTCTCACCTCTCTCCTTCTCTTCTCCCTAATCACCCAATTTAACACACCAGCTCCCTCATTCCAAGTCCATGTCTTTCCCCTATGCTGCAGAATTAGACCGGCGCCATGTGATTGTGATGCACAGCGCGCTATACACACAGAGACAGAACTGGTTGTCTGCTTACTTGGGTTGTACTGAGTCTGTACACTCTAACATGGAATTCAAGGGGACCTTTTACCAGCCACTTCTTCAATGCCTGGTTGCGATGATAACAATTTGAATTCATTGATTCTGATAACTTTTACAATTGCAACATTATTTATAGTTGTGGTTTGACGTAATAATGTTGGTATTCCATCAACTTATTTTGTGTGTAATTTGAAACTCGGATTTCTGCGTTAATTGCCTTAAAACAAATTCAAGTTGTGTAAGTTTAATGCAATTGGCTTGCTAACTTCATTTTTCTATACCTTGGTTAAGGTTTCAATCCACTCCCACTTGACATGCCTGGACAATTTCCGACAGTTAAGACTGTGTGTTCGAAGACATAGGCTGAAGAAATACTATACAAAGGACATTTTAAAGGTGAGTGTCATCTTTTGTCATTCAAATACATTAGATAGCCTTGTAGTTGCACTGTACAGGCAAATTGCTGTTTGACCACCATTAGCAGCCTTTAGAGTGTTTATTTTGTGTGTTTCTTGCTCATTTCATGCAGTGTTGCTTTTATATCTAGAAAAACCTGCAGGAAGACCTGTTAGGTATGGTATCTGTATTGTAAAAAATACTTTGGTTACTATTGTGATATCACTTTTTATAAAAAACAAAGTCTTGGTATTAAAGGCTGCATTACATCGTGTCAAGATGTGTAAAGTAATTTGATTCTGTCAGTGCCACCCAGACATACGTTTATCTACTTGATGTTAAGATTTTGCATCAACAGTAAATGCAAAGATACTATGCCATTCTAGGTTGATTGGTATCTTGTAAAGTTGGCCCATATCGAAACAAAATGGGCTGGAGATGCAAAATATGTAAATTTGAAACCTCTGCAAAAACAGGGTTGCTAAAACATTACAGGTTATGCCATGGTCATGGTGGTCAACCTCTGCCATGTCTTTATCCAGATTGTTTTTGTTTCTTAAAAACATGGGGTCACATCAATTAAGAAATCACTCTCAGGAAACTCAGGAAAGAGTCAGAACTGCAGGTTTCTCTTTCACTTGCCAGTGTTGCAGTACCAGCACAATCTCCACTGAAAAGAGAGCTTTTTGAACACCTTGGTCGACATTTGAAAAAAAATTAGACTGTCATGTTTAAGAACTGCACTTTCAGGAACATTTGCCTCCCACAGAAGCCGAAAGCATACTCCTCACTCACTGCAAGACTTTAAAGAAGACCTGCTAACTCTTTAACTAATGTGTTGTAGTATAAATGAAGGC